TTTCTGCCTCCCTTCTCCCCCCCCCCATCCCTATGCTCCCAATTTTGTCAGGCAATCTTGTCTATTTGCCTTTCCAGGTGGATCTATGTATATTTTTCTTAGGATTCACCTTGTTACTTAGCTTCTCTAGGGTCATGGATTATATAAGTTTGATATCCTTTCCTTTACAGCTAGTATCCTCTTATGAGAGAGTACACACCATGTTCACCTTTCTGGGTCTGGGTTACCTCACTCAGGATTTTTTTTTCTAGTTCTGTGCATTTGCATGCAAATTTCAAGGTGCCTTTTTTTAATTGCTGAGTAGTACTCCATTGTATAAATATCACATTTTCTTAATCTATTCTCCAATTGAGGAACATCTTGGTTCTTTCCAGGTTCTGGCTCTTACAAATAATGCTTCTATGAACATGAACAAATGTTCTTAAGTATCTTTTGGGTATATGACCAAGAGTGGTATTTTTGGGACCTGAGGTAGGTTGATTCCCAATTTTCTGAGAAACCACCCTACTGATTTTCAGAGTGGTTGTACAAGTTTGCATTCCCTTAAACAATGGAAGAGTGTTCCTCTTACTCTATATCCTCTCCAGCATAAGCTATCATTGGTATTTTTGGTCTAAGCCATTATGATTTATATAAGATGGTAACTCAGTGTTATATGAGTTGCATTTTCCTGATGGCTCAATGAAGAAATGTAGAAGAATGCAAATATATCCATATCTATCCCCATGCACAAAACTCAAGTCCATATGGATTAATGACCTTATATAAATCCAGTCACACTTGGAAAGGAGAAAGAGTCTTTGGTGCATGGGCACAGAAACACTTCCTAAATATAACCACAGTAGCACAGACACTGAGAGCAAAACTAAATAAATGGGACCTCCTGAAACTGAGAAGCTTCTGTAAAACAAAGGACACAGTGTTGTGATAGGAGCAGCGGGGCTGCGTCCCTGGCACCCGGCCGCCTACATGGCTAGCTAGCTTATGCCCCGAAATAATTACATGGAAACTGTATTCATTTAAACACTGCTTGGCCCATGAGCTCTAGCCAACTATTGGCTAGCTCTTACATATTAATCTAACCCATTTCTAATAATCTGTGTAGCCCACGAGCTGGCTTACCAGGAAAGATAATAACCTGCGTCTGCCTGGAATGGGAGAATCATGGCGACTGACTCAGCTTCTTTCTCCCAGCATTCTGTTCTGTTTATTCCACCTACATAATTTTATGTCCTATTAAAGGGCCAAGGCAGTCTCTTTCTTTAACCAATGAAATTAAACCAAAACAGAAGACTCTCCCCCATCAACACAGTCCATAAGACAATAAAGCAGCTTACTGATGGGAAAAGATCTTCACCAATCCCTTATCAGAAAAAGGACTGATTTGCAAAATATGCAAAGAGCTCAAGAAATTAGACATCAAAATTAAAATAATCCAATTAAAAATGGGATTCAGAACTAAACAAAGAATTCTTAAAGGAAGAATCTCAAATGGCCAAAAGAGACTTACAGATATGTCCAACATCACTAGACATCAGAAATTTCTACATTGAGTTCTGTTTGCTGAAATTCACAAACAGGACCTGCACCACACTGAACATTCTGTATGACTGCTTGACTAGGAGAGCATCAGTTTTGTGGAAAGTTTAGGATGATGCCAGTCAAAAACTTTTAAGAGTAATTTATTGTCCACCTATGACGTAAAATTTCTGTGTGATTTAATTAGGCAAATTCTTTCAGGGATGTCTAGACTTCTTGCTTTTACCAACCCAAAAGAAAAGGATCTATGACTTGTAAGTGAGATTTCTCTGATGTACTCTAACCCATTTGCCTGATGCTCCCAAGTTTCTTGATTTATGGCTTTCATTATTCTGTTGCCATAAATGTTCCTAAAACTGTATTCCTGTTGGGATATAGTATTTGTGTTTGCCTGATTTTGGTTATCCCAGCTATGATCACTCATATTTTGTTCTAAAAAATGTTCAGTCTAGTTATTTCTGAGATGAGACCTGTACTGTTTTTAATATTTTTATTGTTTTGTATATGTAGGTTTTACCCTTTTCTAAGCATGCCCTAATGTAGACACCTTCTCTTATCCTTAGAATAACATCCGTGATCTCCTCATATTTTATAATTATAGCTTGTTATCATACCTTAATAATTATTTTTATTAAAATAATTTATATTTAAACTATTATGTAGTTCTCTCCTCACTAGCCAATGCACATACAAGTAAATATTGCTTTGTTTTGTGCTTAGCACTTCAATCTGGGTTCAATGGAGATGGACTCCTTGCCTCATGATTCAGTTTTCTTGCCTGTACAATAAGGATCTTGATACTATACCTCTATGGTGGCCTAGTGCGCTAATGGAACGTTGAGTGTACAATCACTTAGCACAAAACAACCTTGACTAGAATAAACAAGTAAGAACATCTCTTACTAGTCAAGCAAGTCTTTTGCTATGCTAATTCACAAGCAGGAACCTACTGTTGATGACTTCGTAGTAGGTATTAACTGAAGTACCTGTGTGGAAATACCTGGCAGCATTTATACACCTAGTAGAAAACTGCCTAGGATCAAACTAGAAATAATAATCTCCATTTCAGTAACACAGGAGGCAGAGATATGTTGTGTGTCCTTTGCCTGGGGTGATGAAAGGCTAAGTCATGCACAGTAGACAACATTTCCTGGATAGGACGAAACTTCTCATTGCATAAAATTTGCCTTCCATACATGACCATGGGTTGGATTCCTCCTCAAAAGAGGCATAAAAAAGAGATTAATAAACTTTTTCTTTCTGACAATATCTTCTTTGTTTGTGCAAAACCTATGTGGTGCTAAAAATGATTTCTAAGAAGTTTTACAACAGACACTACTACTTGTAAAGCTATTTGAAAATAAAGCTCTTCTGAGAGGGTAGAAATTTTTAGAGGAATATTTTGTATTTCTCCCAAGTTCACTAAAAGTTATGTAGAAAATAAAACCTCCATATTTACTCTCAGGAGTTAGAGGAAACAAATCCTTGATATTAATTTACTACTAAAAACTTCATTCTCATAAATATTCGGAAATCGAAATTAATGTCAGCTAATTTTGAAATGGTAATTTCTCATTTTCTTATGATTTATTGTATTTATTTACTCAAGTCTTGGGCTTTCTTTCTGTTACCTTCACATACAGTCTCAAGGGCATCAATGTGAGCATGACATCGTGATCGCTGGATTCAGCTGACTCTGTACCACACTTCTATTTTTCATCCTTGTCTCATTTCCCAACCACATTAGGGCCAAGTGTGTAATAGTCTGACTTCTATGGATTGCTCAGAAAGTATGTCAGGAAGCAGCCTGTGTTGCCTCCAGGAGAGAAGGCTTCTCTTATCAATGCCGTGATTACCAGCCCAGTCAATACTAGCTAATTGAAATATCCATGATTAATGATCTATCCTTCTCAAGGTGTTTCTTATCTCAGTGAGCTTTAAAATCATGCCTATGAGGTCTATACATTTTTTCGTTTCTTGTTCTTTTTCTTCTTTTAATTTTCCTGTCTTTCATCTTCATCAAAACTGTCCCTATTCAGGTGTCCAAACTACTTGTGTCATTTATTTCTTCTGTCACAGGCTCCTTCCTCCTTCACATCACTATATGTCTTTCTGTCCTGTGTCATATATCCTTTTAATAGTGCATATCTATCATTGCATTTTATCCCTTCCTTCGTACTAAATATAGTTATAGAATGGGCACCAAGAGAAACAGAGTCTGGCTAGCTAGTGACAGTTCTAATTGCCTGACTCTTAGATATTTATGGCACTTCAGAAGATGGCCTTATCAAAAAAACTTCAACCTAGCACTTTTAATAGACATATAAAAAATCAGGGACAGGAAACATACAATATATATTCAAAGGGAAGTCAACTGTCTTTAACATATATTAAATGTTATTTTATTTGATATCATTCCTGTTGGTAGTATAACAGCATCTGTTTTGGTCTGTGCAAAATATGGGTCACTAGTTTAACAAAATCTTAGCATCCTTCAGGTCTTGACAATGAAGTAAATAAGTTTTATGGTATTGTCTGGCCCTACATTGATATTCTCCATGATTAATAAATGATAACTAAGTAATTAATATCAAGAACAAAAACTGTCAAGGTTGGCTATTTTCTGTCTGTGGGAATGTATAATTAAGAAGAAACAGACAAAGTCGATACTTTAGTATTTGTTTTTGAGACAGGAGTTCAATGTATAACTGTCCTGGCTATCTTGAATCTTGCTTTGTAGACCAAGCTGGCCTCAAACTCACAGAAATCTGCCTACCTCTGTCTCCCAAGTGCTGGGATTAAACGCATGAGCCACCACTTTCCTGTAAAGTTGATGCTTTTTGAAGGTCTTGTCTTTGAGTTTGTTTGAGAGTCTGAGAGTAACATTAAGGTGTGCAAGATAATAAGGAATATTCATCTATTGCTTTAATCTAATTTTGATATAATAATGATATTATACAAATGCATAGTGGATCAGTTCAATACTGAGAAACACTCTCCATCTACTGCCATTTGCCATGTGTGCAGGCTACTAAAATATATCATTTAAGGTACTGTATACAAAAAATGGATTATAACTCATGACTTAAATTGGTGCATAAGAAGACATGAATAAGTCAATTTAAAGGGCTTAAAATCCTCACACCCTGAGGGGATGTATGCATCTGGCTGGACATTAGATGAAACTTCTGTTCATGAATCGAGAGGAGGATATAGCAGAAAGCTTTGTTGATAGTCTTACTTCCTAGTGATTGATCCAAGGAAGAAGGAGGGATTGTTATTCTCAATTCAAGAAGAAAGGAGGCTTCTAAGGCTTGGAGGCAGGCGAGCAGTAGGCAGGGTCCGCACGGGCCTCAGTGCCAGCCAGGCCTGAAGAGAGGAGAAGGAAGGTCATAGCCTGAAGGTGTATCCGCTATGGCTGCGCCCACTGCCACTGAGAGTTGTGAGTGTTGGGAACAACCATGTCCTACTGCCGACAGGAAGAGAAGGATCAGATCATATTTGTGACCAAAGAAGACCATGAAACTCCTAGCAGTGCGGAGCTGGTGGCTGATGACCCCAATAATCTCTATGAGGAGCACGGATTGATACTGCCCAATGGAGACATTAATTGGAATTGCCCATGCCTTGGGAGAATGGCGAGTGGCCCCTGCGGGGAACTGTTCAAGTCTGTCTTTTCCTGCTTCCATTATAGCAAAGAGAAAATCTTGGGATCAGATTGTAGAGACCAGTTTCGGACCATTCAGGAGTGCATGCAGAAATACCCAGACCTCTATCCCCAAGACGAGGAGGAGGATGAGGAGGCAAAGCCAGTGGAGCACAAGGAAGAAACAGCCGCTCCTAAGGCCTCTGCAGCCAAAGAGCAGGGGTCAAGCTCCTGAAGGTCACAGGCCCTGGCTGCCACTCACCAAGAGACTTTCTATACAACGCCTTTTGGTAACCTCTGTGAACGTTTCTTTCCTCTGTGCACTGTAATGTACAAAACAACTTATTTTAATGATCAGGGGTCTTGACTACTTGCCATATACACTGAAGAAAGGGGGTGTGTACACCTAGGTCCTGTGTAAACCTGTCCTTGAAAGTTAAGCGACTGCTGGATGTACTCTGTGATTGCCCCAGATGTTGTCACTTTGAAATACTGTGCTGTGACTTCTCAGCAACCAAAAGTTGTTACTCAGGAAAGTTCATCGTGAGAAAGCTGATTTATTCTGACCGTTGTGTTCCTTTTGGTACATTTTACATCTCTTTGGGAAATTAAGTAGATGCCAAAACTCCCTCACGGGTAGGTCCATTCCTATTGGAAGAGGCTGGTGGTCAGATGCTTGAGTTGTGGTCCATGGGAGTACTACCTTGTTCCTAGCTCCCAAGTTTCTGTGCAGTCCAGACTCTAAGGTGTCTACAGTTGCAGGGTGGGATTGGACCCAGTGACTTCTAGTCCTTCTGGGTGAAAGGAGAGGCATGGGCTTTGTTTTAATGTTTTGCTATTCCAAAAGCCCTGGTTTGGTGCACATATTCACTCGGCCCACTCAGTTGTGATTTGATTTGGGGACTTAGCTGCTTCCAGAGCAGAAGTCAGCAGAGGAAACATCTGAATGAAGTACTCAATTAAAAAGAAAAAAAATCTGTCCGAGAAAAGACAAGAAGAAAAGAAACTTCAAAAATAGTTCTAAGGATCTAAGAGGCATTGCTGAAGCTCAGAGGAGCACAAGAAGTGAAATTATTCACATATATGGTTGCTTTCAAGAATGGGACTTGGAAGCATCAACCTGGAGGTCGTGGTAGAATTACATGTTCCAAGAACAGTATCAATTTTGTGTTGACTTCAAAAAATAAATGTGTAAGTGTCTCAGTAGAACAGGCATTGGTATGTTAATGTACACTACATATCGACCTCTTTTTCTGGGAGTGAGGAAGAAGGGAGATAGTCCAAAATACTTTCTGTACTCAAAAGCTCAGGGATAGAGAGAGAGAGAGAGAGAGAGAGAGAGAGAGAGAGAAAGAGGGGACCTCTTGAAAACTCTTGAATACTCCATGGTAAAAAGACTATGTGGAAATTTTTGCAGAACCAAGATATTTGGATTCTCAGATCTGAAAATCACCAGGCAAAAGCAAAGTTTAACAAAGAGTTCTTCTGTTCTTACTTTACAAGTGAAAAGGGGAAATTGAGCAATCTAAATGTTAGGGAATTAGTAGCACTAAGTGAAAACTTAAATATGATCTTTCTTCTATAAGGCTATACCAACAAGTTTCTTTTCAGGATGAATGGCGACAGCATTTATGTATATAAATGCAATTTGTAAAGAAAGAGGGGATGAATTTAAAAGAGAGAGAGGATGGACATTTAAGAAGTTCTAGAGTGAGGGAACGGGGATGTGATATATTATAATCTTAAATTATAAAAGAAATACTTTTAAAGATATGCTGTTCTATTATGATTGGAGCCTTTAAGTCATTTTGTGCTAGGAATTCCAGTTACACAAGCTGTGTGACCTTGGGCAGGAAACATGACTGTTTTGATCCTATTTTAAATCAGCAAATGCTGACAGATGCAATGACAAGATCCAAGATCTGGTGACAGGCAGCAAAAAGCCTGACAACGTTACAAAAGCAAACAAGATAAGTGCCTGAAAAAATTGTCTTTAAATGATACATTTCTATTTCAGAGTTAAAGAAAGGCATAAACATTTTTTTTCTAGAATTTCCAAGCAAATAAAAACTAAATATTTGCCTGTACTTTATGTAACTCATAAAACTTTAATTCTATAGTAACATGCCACTACTCATGAACACAATTTTAAACCATAGTGCACAAATTTTATTCTAATACAAAAACCACAGTCGTTTGGATAATTCTCGAAATCAATGTAAAAGTATACCAACATTTAATTAATGCAGAAATTTTCTAGGAAAGTTCTTGTATAGTTTGTTGAGAAATATCCTCAAATATTTTGAAATTTTTATTAACTGTCAAAATTCTAAGGGGAATTATTCTAAAGAGGAAGATGATTTTTGTTTATAATGTATTATTCTTAGTAAATTGGAATAATTCCATATGTATGAGCTCCCTTTATCTAGTTTTTTTTGCTTTCTTAATAACAAACAGACTATGAGTCTATCAATATTTTATTCCTGTTTGTTATCATAGTACAATTCCAATGTATATACTATAAATTCAGTCATTGTGACTGTGCAATGGATTGATTTTAACAGTATATCACAGATTGTAGCATCCCTACAATACAGCTTTAGAACGTTTTATAATGCCACTTCAGCAAGCTTCTGAGACTCTTCTGATTATAGTACTGAAAACTCCACTCCACCAGAGATCTCCGGCATGCCACAAATAATTGATATCCATGAATAGGAGTGGCATGTCAACTTTCTTTGATGGCAACACCTCCTTCTTTCCCTCCTCTTCCTTATTCCCCTCCACCATCAACCTTTCTTTCCTTCTCCCCCTTTCTCAACAAATATAGATACCTGGATTCCCTTGAAGACATTGTTCAAACTCATGTCATAGTGTGTTAAGGAAAGAGAGGAATACATTTTTTGTATTTATTTATTTGTTTGTTTTATTGTTTTTATTGAGTTATATATTTTTCAACCCTCCCCTTCTTCCCACCCCCCTCCCCTTCTACCCTTTCTTGTGATTCCCGTGATCCCACTTTACTCAGGAGATCTTGTCTTTTTCTACTTCCCTTGTAGATTAGATCAATGTATATCTCTGTTAGAATTCTCATTGTTGTTTAGGTTCTCTGGGATTGTGAATTTTAGAGTAATTACTCTTTGCTTTACATCAAAAAGTCACTTATGAGTAAGTACATATTACATTTGTTTTTCTGGATCTGGGATACATTACTTAATATGATGTTTTCTGGATCCATCCATTTGCATGCAAATTCAAGATGTCATTATTTTTTTCCACTGTGTAGTAGTCTATTGTGTAAATGTACCATATCTTCTTTATCCATTCTTCAGTCAAGGGACATTTAGGTTGTTTACAGTTTCTGGCTATGACAGATAATGCTGCTATGAAAATAGCAGCACATGTCCTTGTGGAATGCATGAGTATCCTTTGGGGATATATCCAAAACTGGTATTGTTGGGTCTTGAGGTAGGTTGTTTCCTAATTTTCTGAGAAATCACCATATTGATTTCCAAAATGACTGTACCAAGTTGCACTGCCATCAGAAATGGAGGAGAGTTCTCTTTATCTCACATCCTCTCCAACAAAAGTTGTCTTCAGTGCTTTAGATCTTGGCTGTTCTTTCAGGTATAATATGGAAACTCAGAACTGTTTGAATGTGGATGTTGAACATTTCTTTAAGTGTCTTTGTTTTAGATTCATCTTTTGAGAGTTCTCTCTTTAGGCCTTTACCCCATTTTTATTTTTGGATTATTTGTTCTTTTGAAGACCAATTTCTTGAATTTTTTGTATATTTTCGAGATCAGCCACCAGAAATGGATCTGATGTAAGGTTGGGGAAGATCTTTTTCCATTTTGTAGGCTACTATATTGTCTTGTTGACCATGTCCTTTGTTTTACAGAAGGTTCTCAGACATCTCACCTAGGTAGGGAATGTTATTGGCCTGCTTTTGTTTGATTGTTTTGGTTGCTGTTGTTGTTGTTGTTATTTTGCTTTGTTTTTTTGTTTTCATTGTTTGTTTAAAGCAGTTTTCTCTAAGTTCCTACCTCAGTTCACAGACAGAGCATTGCAGTTAGACAGAACTAATCCTCATGAGTCAGGGAGACTGTTCAATCTTCTTAAAGTTCCTGCAAGAGCTCTGTGATTACTGCTTGAAGAGCATAGACATGTGTCACCAAAGGCAGGTATATAGAGTGTTGGCGGGCTCTGCTTAGAGAATATAATAGAATTGAGTTCTACCTCAAACTACATGACACTTGATTGACGAAAACAGAATCCACTAACAGAAAAATCCTTGCAATAAACAAAGGCATTTTCATCAGAATTAAAATTAGAATAATGTTTGCATCAATATACTTTACAAGCAACGTATAACTAAAAGGTGAACATGATGTGTGAAATTTGATCCACAATTCTAGAAATCCATTTTAAGGAATATATCAAAGATGTTATAAAAATATAGTTTATTTGATCCCTAGCTTCTGTACAGATTCCATGAATCAGACACTTATATTAAGCTTGTGCAACAAATATTTACACACTGAGTCATCCTGCTGTCCCAGGTCGAAAAATGTAGAAATGATGATGTATTTGCATTTGGTATACATACTGAATTAATACTATATCTATGTTTTTGCGTGTGTTCACTTTTGTTTAATGTTGAAAAATGAACTAGGCAAGTGTAGTTATTCTGGTTTGTACAAAATAAAACTTTTTTAATAGCCTTCTGTAGATTTTAGGCAGTGAGGGAGCTAGTTAGCAGTGGAGCCAGGATTCTAGCCAAGTTCTACATGTACTTTAAAAATGAGTGTGTTAGGTGATTTTCTGGTGTCTCCAGTAGGAACTGAACAAATTCGAATGAGGCAATGAATAAATGAGTGAGTAACTGCCAGAGATAAAGGCTATCATTTCCCCACAGCAGACAGGCAGGATACAATTACAGCTGTGCCCTGATGGAACCACTTGCTTGGTGATTCACTGTGTACCCTAGAAAAGGCCTTCATGATTCCGAAAGTCTTCTCAACATGGCAGTGATTCTTGGGAAGTAAGAGTAACAAATTGATGGAATAGACTAAGCCAATACAACTTGCCAAAACAAAACTACTCTTAGTGATCAAATAGCTCCCCAGTTCATGAAGCTCATGGACAGAAGTTCACTGGAAACCAACAATGGAGACACAGTTGCATCATATCAGCTCTCTGTTGGCTGTAGGAGATAATACCTACATATTGATC